CCCAGCAAAAGGCAATTCTGGCTGTCCAAACGGAGGGAAGATGGATTTCCCCGGCTTGGGGCAGCACTGGGATGGAGCAGCCGGTGACAGTCCCCGCAGGTTCTATGGGACAAGTCCCCAGCACAGCCCGGGACCCTGCTGTTGCCGGGGCTGGGCAAACCCTGAGCCCCAGACAATCCCTTTCCTGGGGGTTTCCTTGCTCTGGCACCGAAAGGGCTGAATGTGACTGTGAGAACCTTCCCAGGATAAAGTTTGCGCAAATCCTGGCTCTCTTTGGCTCTGCGGGGTGGGAGCCTCCAAGGGGGATGCTGGGGTCTTGCAGTGCTGAGGCTGCTGCTGGGGATGCTGCCCAGCCCTGGGGGATGCTCCTGCTCCCCAAGGACAGACGTAACCCTTTTCCCTGGTCTCCTGCTTGGAAAAATATCACCTAAACTAATAGTGGGGTTGGCCAGGATATCGCCAGGATCTGACCAGCTTTTCCTTGGCCTTGCAGTGACGGGCTGTCCCGGAGGGGAAATGCATCCTGAATGGGGCTGAGGCCCCCTGCGCGGGAATATGCAGCCTCGGCACCGCGGGGGCAGCACCAGGGCAGCGGCTGGCGTGCGGCGGCATGGTGGCAACGTTCAAGATCGCCGTGCTGGGAGCCCAGGGCGTGGGCAAGAGTGCCATAGTCCGGCAGTTCCTCTACAACGAGTTCAGCGAGGTCTGCGTGCCCACCACGGCCCGCCGCGTCTACCTGCCCGCTGTCGTCATGAACGGCCACGTCCACGACCTGCAGATCATGGACTTCCCCCCCATCACCGCCTTCCCCGTCAACACCCTGCAGGTAGGGGCACACCCGGCTCCATGCGATGGGACCCCCATGCTGGGGGGGGGGGTGTCTCTGGTGACCTCAGTGGGGTTTCACTGTATAACCCTGTGGTCCCAGTTCCTCCTCTTTGGGGGATGCTTCTGCCTCCACGCTGGGGTTTGCTTGCTAAAAGCTGGTGCGAGGGATCACATCCTCATGGCTACTGGCTGAGCGGGCCCAGGATAAAGTGTCTTAAAGCTTTTTCACTTAAAATGACAGCAAACGCGGGAGAGGCAGCGTCCCACTCTGAGGACTGTGGCTCTGGCGATGCCCACAGCCCTGTCCAGCTGGAGGGGGTGGATCCCAGAGCACTGGGATGCAGTTCCATGGCTGTCAGAGCCAGCGCCAGCAAAGAGCTGGGGGAACGTGGCCAGAGCATTTGGGTGAAAACCAGGAGTTTCTGGAGAGCCAGACCCCCATGCACCCACTGCCTGAGCCGGGCGGAGGGGGGCTGCTCATCCCCTCCTGGGGTGGCCATCACCCCCTCAGCATTGCCTGGGCTTGTCCCTGGGGCGCTGAGCCCACCAGCTCCTCCTCAACCCCCCAGCGCTCTCAGGTGCTTCCAAAACAGCCCAAAAAGGCAGCGTGGGGTTGGAAAGCGGTGCCGCCAGTGCTGACCGCTTCAGGGGGTTTAATGGGGAAAAAGGGGACTTTAAGCTCATGCCATAGCCCGGTCCCAGGGGCACAAGTTGTGTCACCGCTGCGGGGAAAGGGGCTGGAGGGCAATGCCAGCGGTGGGGGCACCTCTGCGGGAGCTGGGCTCCCTTATATTTTTAATCAATATAATTGTATTGCTCCCTTGCCCGAGGGGGACGGGGTTATAGGGGCCTTGTAGTGCTCCAAGTTTCCCCTGTGCCATCGGGCAGGAGGTGAAGTGAGTGCTCTGGGGGCCAGGAGGTTTAAAAATTAATCGGCGTGTGCAGGGAACGAAAGGTCAGCGCGAGAGACAGCCCGAAATAGCAAAGGGTAATTTATTGACACGGCAGCCAATGCTAACATACTCGATTAACTCCCTGCCTTGCTGCGCTCAAGAGGAGGCGGTCGGTGGGAACAGATGGAGGTTTCCAGGGAAGAGAGGATGGTCAGAGAGATGGCTCCAAGGGGAGAGGAGCGTGGTGGGGGATACGGCTCTGTCTGCTGGGAAGCATCACTAGGCTCTGCTCCGTGCCTGGGAGTGGCACCTGCGGCGATGTCCTGGGAGAGGAACGGGGCCGGCAGCTCCCTGAGGTCCTGTTCCTGTGTAGGGTCAGGCGGGATGTGGAGCACGACCCTCCTCCAGCCCCAAGCATCCCGGGAAACCTGCCCTGCGCTGGGAAGACCATCCTGATGTCACAGTGCCAGAGCAAGCTGCACCCCAGCGTGGTGAAATAGCTGCCATTTATTAATCTCCCAGGTGTATCAGGACTCAGAGTAACCTGAGGCACTGCCGCTTCACCCCCCTGCATCCCTGATAACGCCGGAGCTGCACATCACCTCCTCCCCCCGTGGATGGGAGAGGGGCTGCGTCGCGCCGCTCGCTCACAGCTCATCTGCGACAGAGACCAACCCGCACCCCAAAACTTCCCTTTTCCCAATTTCCTTCCATCCTAGGTCTTCTCCTTTTGCCTCGTTCCAATGATAAACTCAGACAAGGATGATTCACGGTACTGAAGAGGTTTGCTCAGGGAGAAGCGATGCCTTTCCTCCCTGGTGCCTCTTTCTCCTCTCCAGTCGCGCTCCGGAGGGTTTGCGGTGCTGCCTGCGTGGGCTGCCCTCCCCGCTGTCACTGCAGCCTTGGTGCCCCTCCTGGGCTGGGGAACTGCCTGGAAGTGGGGCAGATTTTCACTCCTATAGCATTGAAAAAAAAAGCCCTCCTGCTATTCCTGGAAACCCAAAGCTTTCCTAATGACATGTATTTCTTACAGCTCCAAATTTTGTCCGTGGAGAGGCCACCCCTGACTGTCTCTGCCCCGGCTCCCGATCCCACTCTTGCGCAGCTGCTGCTCCTCTCCTGTCCCCATGTCCTCTCCAAGCAGCCCTGCCATCACCTTCCCCCTCTGACCCATGGAGCTGCTGGTGCAGCACCCCAGCTCCACGGAGCCGGGGTCGGGCTGAGCCCCGCTCATCCCTCAGCATCCTCCTCACCTGCCTGCCCAAAAGCCAGGGTGTATCCCTAATTAACACACCTAATTAGCAGCTCTGGAGGGTGAAGCTTTTCCATCCAGGGCAGGGGGTTGCATTCAGCCCTGTTCCCTATGACTTAAGCAGGTTAGGCAGGCTGTAATCCTTGCTTGAGAGAGGAATTGGGGCTGACAGATTCCATTATCTCTCCCCTGGATCAACGAGGGGGATGAGGGATGTCCAGAGAAGCAGGAGGATTGCTGAAGGGCCAGGGGGGGCAGGCGCAGCCATCACAGGGACAGGTTAGGGCAGAGCAGGGGTGAGCTGGGTGGTGGGTGTCAGGGCTGGACACCATTCAGCCCCCTTGCTACCTGCTGGCATAGCAGCCTCCTCAGTGTGCCCAGCCCCAAAGCGGTGCGGGGCATCCCCTGGGCATGGCGATGGGGCTGAGCCAGGATTGACCCCTCTCTGCACCTTGCAGGAGTGGGCGGACGTGTGTTGCAGGGGGCTCCGGAGCGTCCATGCCTACATCCTGGTCTATGACATCTGTTGCTTTGACAGCTTCGAGTACATCAAAACCATCCGCCAGCAGATCCTGGAGACGAGGTAAGGACCACTTTGACAGTGGGTGCATCCCCCTGCGGCCCCTGCCGGAGCGGTACAGCTCACCCCAGCACTCCCCTGCTTTTGACATCGGAGATATTAGAGACCGGGGCAAAGCCCCTTTGCAGGGCTGGGAGTCTAAAAGCAAAAGCAAAACTGGACCCGAAGGCAGGAGAAGGAGCAGGATTCCAGGCAGGTATCCCCTGCAGGCGAGGGCGGCCACCCCTGGGAAGACAACTGGGTAGCTGGCCATGGAGAGGGACAAGGGGACAGGCCCAGGGGAGGCACATGCTGCTTCACAAGCCAGAGCCAAGCGCCAGTTTGGGGTGGGTTGGGGTCTGTGGGCCGATCCCCTTCCGTCTTCCCTCACCCCCTGCCCTCCCCAGGGTCATCGGCACTTCGGAGACGCCCATCATCATCGTGGGCAACAAGCGGGACCTGCAGCGGGGCCGGGTGATCCCACGCTGGAACGTCTCCAACCTGGTGAAGAAGACGTGGAAGTGCGGCTACATCGAGTGCTCGGCCAAGTACAACTGGCACATCCTGCTGCTCTTCAGCGAGCTCCTGAAGAGCGTGGGCTGCGCCCGCTGCAAGCATGTCCACACCACCATCCGCTTCCAGGGC